GAAATCCAGCGCTTCATCTCTCTTGTCCCCCTGGCTCTCCCTCACACTGTGACCAAAGACACCTCCTTCAGAGAGTACATCATTCCTAAGGTTAGTGGGCAAGCTCCCTTAAGTTCAGCACGAGGTGGCAGTACATTTGCCCTTAGGCTGTTACAGCCAGAAGCCAGAACTGTTGTGGCTTGACCTTGTTTTCACCCAGACCTAGTTGAAGGTTTTATCCTCAGGCTTCTGTAGCTCATTTGCACTCCCTTGTTGACACTCCATGGGCCAAGACTAGAGTAGTAGCGCTGACCAACACATTTGTTCCCTTGCTTTACCTATCTGTGGAAGCACAGTGGGTTCACAAAAACCCAGAGCAGCAAAGTCATGGAGCTGCTCACCACCATCCAGGACAGCCTATGCACATGCTTGGGAGCAAAGTCAGTTGCTGGTTATTGAGCACAGAAAGCCCCTGAGCCACAAAGTGCTGGAGGGTATGTTTCCATTCAATGGAACAAGCAAAACCTGTTTGCTCTGTTCTCACATACTTCCTGAGGCAGTCTCTGCTGGCCACTGCCAGAGGCAGGCTGGTGGGTTACAGCAGCCCATGGCTTGGCCTGGTCCACTGCAGCAATGCTCGTTGCTCTTCTGGGTGACTGTAAACAGCAGCACATGTGCTGTTGGCATTGTGATTTCCAGCTGTCTGTGTAAAATCACAAGGCAGGATCCAGAGAACTGCTCAACTTCCAGCAAAGAGCTCTTCTGTCATCACTGCCGATTAATCCAGCCCCCATCAATGCCTGGTCAGGAAGAGGATTGTGGCAGGAGAAATCTGTCAGGGGAGGGGAAGTGAGCTTCATTTCCACAACCTTGTGTGCTTTCGCTTTTTGAGGCTCACAGAAAAGAAGGGACATGGTGCCTCTACAAGTTCATTATTGTGAAACACTAAGAAAGAGGAAGAATTAGCTCTGATGTCCCCTGATGACCAGAGCAAGGTGAGGATAAATGTTCTGGAAGTGAGAGGGAACATTAAGGAAGAGCAGCCAACAACTGTCACTGCTGTGACATCCACTAGGGTCTCCCTAACGCTGCCTCCCCAAAAGAAGGGTCCCCAAAGGGAAACCAAAGGCACTGGTAGGGCTATACTGGGAATCTCAGTTTTAACTTGGCAGGCAGTCAAATTGAGTGATCTAAGTTACCTCCCCTTCACGTTCTGCTCTTCTTGTGTTACTTCAGGGAACCACAATTTATCCTGTCCTCAGTTCTGTCCTCCATGACAGTAAAGAGTTTGCAAATCCATATGAGTTCAACCCTGAACATTTCTTGAACAAGAATGGCACCTTTAAGAAGAGCAACTTCTTCATGCCCTTCTCAGCAGGTAAAGCACAGGCTTTCTCTTTTTCTCTGTCTGTCAGCCTTCTCCTCTGGTGACTACCCGGCCTTTCCCTGTAACACACACTGCCTCTTCTCAACATGGTCCCACTGGGGCTTCCTCGGGGCTCACTGCTCTCTGGATGACTCTTCCCTGCTGCTCCCATCTCCAGTGGCATGTCCCACCTTGTTCAGACCTGAAGGCTTCCCAAATTTCCTACTAGGAGTTGCCAATGTAATGATGTGAATGGGATCCACTGACACTTTCTAAAATACCTGTCACCTTCCTATACAACCACCAAAGTCATCCTGAACCAACCTTTTTCAGTGGTAGCTCCGCTTTTTCCCAGCACCTCTACATGCAACCACTCACCTAAAAATAACCTCAACCTTCCACTTTTTCACCTGTGCTTTATGTCCCCTTGCTCTCTCTCATCTTCACTCCTGTGATGTTGTCTCCATGTTTGAGACTTCTCCTACTCCTGTTCTTCCTTCATACACCCATCCAAACTGCCAAGGGTACTTTCTTCTCTTGAAAATGTCCTTAGTAAATCTTGACAGTCATCTCACTGCTGTGGCTGTGGGTAGTAAACAAAGCTGTGCAACACATCTGCTTAGTACAAACTCTGGTCTACTTAGAAACACCTACTGAGTGCTGGTTTGTGCTTCCACTTTCAGGAAAGCGAATATGCCCTGGAGAGGGCTTGGCACGAATGGAGATATTCTTACTCATAGCCACCATCTTGCAGAACTTTACCTTGAAGTCTGTTGTCGACCCCCAGGAGCTCAGCATAACCCCAACACTGAGTGGGACAGGCAACATACCTCCTGCCTACCAGCTCTGTGCTCTCCCCCGCTGAAAAGCACTAAACCAATCTCTACAGCATCCTCAGCCTGGCTATTCCTTTACATCTCCTTTACTGAAACCAACAGCAGGAGCATTGGCCCACCTTGCCCAGGTTCCAGGAAGGCAGTCCAAGCATAGATATATGCACAGAGTAGACAGCTTTGAAACCTCCACCCCATCACAGGAGGCTCTGGGTGACATTGCAGCCCCTTGCACTGACACTCAGTCATGAGATCATTGAGCACAGTGGCTGCATCAATCAGCTGCTTTTCTCACACACACAGATCCCATGGCTGCTCCTGCAGCCCATGTCCCACCAAGACCATGCTTTGCAGATGGATAGCGCTGCATGTGTATACATTAACAAGCCAATTAAAAAAAAAAATCTATTTATGAGCATTTGAGCTGTTATTTAATTTGGGTTGGGGCAGTGCCCACATCTGCTGCTACACTGCAGAGTAGGTCTGCAGTGCCTGTGGCCAGTGCCCTGTGGGAGGGGCTGTTCCTCCCAGGCAAGGGTCCTTCCTTGTTCATCTGCTGTGCTCACTGCTGCTGCCTGCAAGGATCTGAGCAGTTGCAACAGACCACCAGTCAGGAAGGCTCATGGTGTTAGAGGGGAAGAGAGTCCTGCAGCCTGAGGGCTTTCTGCCAAATGAAAAGAATGCCTTCCTGTTTTTTGAAGGTTGAGGCAAAGGAACTCAGTTACCTGGGACTGCAACCAACTCTCTGGCTGCTCTTTTCTACCATCAGTATCACTACAGGGATTTAGATGTTCTTTATTAAAATGAATTAATGTAGGAGAACAGCAAAACCATCTCTTTCAGAGAACTTGGGGTACTCCAGTGGAATCTGATTTTGCTTCTACATCTCAGAGGCACGATTGCAAACAAGTTCTTTCTCCATCCAATTACTTTTAGTCTTGGTCTCTATAGAATTTCATGTAGGCTCAAAGAGAAAACATTGAATACAATGGCACCCAGCAACATCAGCCCCAGGGTAATACCTCAAAGTGCTATCCCTAGTGACAGAGCCAAGGCTTGCAGTTTTCACATCCCTGGATGCCACCAACTCATTCTCATATATGGCTTGGTCTCCAGTCACCTAGAACAACAGACAGGCATCAATCACTGTGGTAAAGTCAAGCTGGATCACTATGAGGCTGGAGAACACCACTTGGCCTCTGGAAGTCTATAGGGTGTCCATTCAGTAGCCAAAGCCACGTCAGGTTGTGCCAGGTCTGACAGCTTCTGCTATTGCAGCCTAGTGACAGCTGCAACTCTTACCTGAAAAGTGGTGCCACAGGCAGAGAGTGGGAACTGGTACACAACAAATGCATTGTTTTTCACAGTAGGAACACAGCCAGTACTGTGCCCACTGGCCAGTTGCACAGAGTCCAGGACAATGGGTGGCAGGGTCACATCTCGAGAAACAGCAATGGAAAACTGGCCATCTGGTGTGCAATGAGCTGTCACTAGAGGAAAAGATACAATCAGTCTTAAGCTCAGGAAGAAGAGGAATGGAAAGGAGACTCAAAACATCACAGCAAAGATGAGGCCAGCAAGTTTTGCGAGTTCTCCTGCCTTTAAGCCCTGAAACAATTGCTAAGCATGGCAAGGCAAGTGCAACCAGCTCTAACAGCAACATCGATTCTGGCCATAAACCCAGGTCTGTTGCAATACACTTGAAAAGGCTGGACACCTCAATAGAACATGGTATTCTTGACAGGCAAAAACATAGCCCTGAGCCACCTGCAGGACTGATAATACACCAACTCCACTCTGACAGCAAAGTGAGGAATCCTGTTTTGAAGCAACTCAGCAGGAGGGGAGGACAGCTGCTCAGGCTTACCTGTGTTACCAAAGTAGCAAGGATTTACCCTGTCTCTAGGGTCATAGCAGCAGCCTCGCACTTCACAGTTTCCCTGGCTGACAGGCAAGGAGGCACATGGCAGCCGGTCCTGGCTGGGAACGGCCGAACAGACACTACTGCTTGGAGCATCTAGGGGTGGAAAAAAAAACAGCAGGAGTTTGCAGCTAAAGCACAAAAGCAGGGGGACAAAGACAAAGGACTTTGGTGGAAGATGTCCTGGTGACTCTGCATAAAAATGAAGGGAAATTAAAGTCAGGTGAGGGTTAAACACATGGCCTGGAGGTGGCATGGAAGCCTGCTCAGAAGGGACATGCATTTCCCTGGAACAGAATCTCCCCTAGAAGCCACGTACAGGAGACTGGACTTGTATGAGATCTGTCAAAATACAGTGTTTTGGATCAACTCTTGGTAGTTAGGAAAATCATTGTACCTAGTCTCTGGCTCAATCCCTGAACTTGCAGGGACCCAAGCAGTCAAAATATGGCTAGAGACACAGTGAACATGTTCACCCGCCGATCCTGCAAAGACGCACAAGTTCCCAGCAAGTTGGTGGTTCCTATGTCCAAACCCTTTTGCAGGGAGTTTTCTGCCCAGCAGAAAGTCTCCTTTCCTAGCCCCCAGACTGACCAGAAACAGCCAACTGAAAGGCATGGCACTCATCACCCACAAGATACAAGCAACTATCAGAATCTTACCAGGAAGGTCCACAGGGCACCTGAGCAGCGTCTCTTCATGAAGAACCTTTTGCCCAGCAGCATCTGTTCCTTCAAGCCCAACCAGCAGAAGGTAATGGCCATTCTAGGGGAAAGCCACACCAGTCAGGGCAGCCAGAGCAGCAGTAGTCACAGTCCCAGCAGAATCCATAAGGTCACTCACCCATTCAAAGATATAACAGCCAGTATAAGAAACCAATACTTTCCTGGAGCCATCTGGAGTCTCAGATACCAAGAGCCCACAGTCAGAGTCATTCTGCAGAGCATGTGCCTTCCCCTCAGTATCTATGGAAAGAGAAGACACAGCAGCAGTGGCTTTAACATCCCACATTACAGATAGGGTCCACTACAATCCTACCTTTCTGTAGGAAACAGGGACCTAGACAGTATTAGGGTCTGGACCAGGAGGGGTGCATGTGAGAGAATCCAGCAGCCAAGACCATCTAGATCCAGGCACAGTACTTCACCAAAACCCTTGACTACTGGGTCACATAAACAGCCCCCTGATCATACAAGATGCACTGAAAGCTGTTCAGCAACACTTCCCATCAAAACCCACTCCTTCCTCCTCTTTCCAGGCATACCTCTGCAGTGTGCAAAGATACGGCTAAAAATGCCTCTGGACACTGCCCTCACTTACCCCAAGTAGTCAGCACCAATGAAGCATTCCCTTCCCAGCCCAGAGGTAAGGTGAGCTGTAAGCTTTCTTGGCCACAAATCAGCAGGGTGGGGTCAGAAAAAACACTACGAGCCCCCATAACCAAAGCTAGGGGACCAAGAAACACCCAGAAAAGCACAGCACCCAATGCAGCCCCAGACTGTCCTACAACACCCATCCTGCTCTCTTGCTAAGGACCATGAAGTAACTGTTCTTAGCCTAGCCCTTTTAAATTGTGGAGCCAGCTGGGATCAGAAATCTCTGAAGTGTCCAGGTGGGGACAGCCCAGCAGTTTTTAGCACCTGTCATTGCCCTCACCTGAACCCAACAGAGCCTGCTTGCACCCTTTGAAGGAAACCATAGAGCAAGAGCTGAGCGTATGTCAAGAGATGGGTCTGTATTCATAGACCCCCAGCAGGGTCTTCAAATCCTTTTTGTCACTCTCAGTTCTTCCAACGGCCGAGACATGCAGGACATCTGGCTGCTTTTCCCCAGGTGCCCTATTGCTGCTCTAATTGCTCATTACAAGGCATGAGTGCCAGAAACTGAGTGACAGTGCTCTTTTGCTCTTTTATTCTCTTAAAGCTGACACTGCCTCAAATGCCAGATGTAGGGTGCTGACATGAAAGCACAGAAATAGCCCTTCACATGAAATCTGTGGGAAACTATGGAGCTCAGGAGGCTTTGCACACCTAAAAGGTGGTGATTCCCTGTAAACACTCTTGGCTATGGACTTACAGCCCTGTTTGCAGTGTGGTTGTGCAGGGATAAGCTGCAGAACTGGTCTAGGCCTGGCTGGCAGGTGGCAGGACTGTATGCTCTGTTGGATCCCCGCTCCCAAAAACTTACAGGGGGTCCCTTAGATGGGCTTGAAACACACATAAGGGGAGCCTCTGTGATCCCCGAGAAAACTGTGCCCTTCCAGCACCCGTTGCCTGCCTGTAACTGCAATGTGTCTCATGTCGAGCCTTCTCCCTAGCCATGCACCAGGCAGCCACACACCTCGTTGTCCATCTTTCCATACAGATGTTTCTGCATTCATGTAATGGAATTTTTACACTGTTGAGTGAATGTTTTTACACTGTTGCAGAAGTGATGCACACATTTGTGTTTGTGCATGCCTTTTTGTGCCCCATGTTTTGCAGTGGGAATGCTGGCATAGCCTGAGCCATCCATGTTCTTTTGTAGTCTGCTTATTTCTTTGGGAGTCGATCAACACACAGACATCCCAACATGGTGTGCGTTAGATGTGTGGGATTTCTAATCTTGACCCTTAATAATGTGCTTCCATTGGTAGCCACTCATGCTTCTGCCCTCATCAGACCCTCCAGCTCCTGGATGTCTGCACAGCACTGTGCAGCAGTCAGCCACTTGTTCCTCCAGCTAGTCCTCACCACAGGAAGGGTGGATAGTAACTGAGTCTGTGGGAGCCATTTCCTCTGCTCTTTCACCTCAGCCCACAGCCCATCTTTGCTCTGCAGGTATACAGGCTGCCATGATCCCAGCTGGGTGAAGAACATCACTGTGCCTACCCTGCACATTGCTAATTTCATGCACCAGTCAGGATGGCTGTTCCACAAAGTACAAGACCTTCGGAGCTGCTTTGCTTTGTTTGAAAGAAGTTGTTATAGAAAGTGGGAAGCAGCCTGGCTGAGATAAAACAGGCAGGTTTCTCTTCCTCACAGATCTTTTCCTCACCCATTTGATAGTTCTCGTGCATTACAATGACCCAGCTGTAAGCACCAGTTTAGGCAGCACCCAAGACCACCACAAACAGGACATGGAGAGGATGAGGACAGGAGAAGCAAATGTCTCTGTGGTCCACTAGCCTGAAGCTGATCAGTGAGGGTCATGGGAACAAGGGAACTTTACAGACAAGGTGGAAAGTTCATGATTGCTGTTAGCTGGCAGCTACCTCATATAGCAGTGCAAACTCTCATGAACTTTACTTTTATCAGGTGAAAGTCCATAAAGCTACATGAACTGCCATGAACTGCCCTGACATCTGAGCTGATGCAGGAATTTAGGCCAGCAGATAAGCACCCAGCCAAAAGTTGTTGGTAATTCAGTTTTCCCACTAAAATATCTAGTGTGGGTCTTTAAGAAGTAAAATGAGATTTAAAAAGAACAATTAGCAAATTATTGCACCTATGCAAGAGAGCGAGGGTGACTTAAGAACTCATAGGGAAGGGAAGGTACAGAAACTTTTGCAAGGGATGGAGACTTTCCCTAGCACCTCTGAGTGGAAGGGGAAACTCACATTAACACACGGACTTAGAGCAAACCCAGCACAGTCCAGCTAAGCACTCAATTCACCCAGGCCTCTTGCTAATTCCTGCCAAGTCCTGCATCCCCTGTTCTTGCAACACCTGATCAGTTGGATCTGTCTGCCTGCAAAAGTGTCACAGTTCAGGAGAGACAGTGGGATAAGGCCAGACTGAGCAAGCTGAGAACAACCTTGAGGGTCCTTTCCCAGACATGCTCTGCTGTTTCTCAGAGCACCTATGGACCTTCTGGGGCAGCAGTTCCTCCTAGTGGAGTCAGACATAACAAAACAAGAGCTTGTGCATGCCAGCTTCCAGCAGTAGTTTGGGTGATCTTCTTTGGTCATTACAAGTGCAAGGACTAGTTGCCAGGTTGCACTAACCTATACTCAGCCTCTGCTCTGTCACAATTTGGGAAGCCATTCCCCAGAGACCCTCTCAAGTTCTTAATTTCTCTTCTCTGCCTGCTTTTCTCAATTGTTTTCTCCTCTAGAGAAAACTCCTCTCCTTGAAGAGGTCAGAGTCCCAAGGTCTCATCCACTTTTCTTATGTCTTTGTCTACTGTGATGTCTGGAGACCTTTCTGCCCATGCTAGATGGATATTTTACACTTTCCTCTCTTGTGAGGCCAGACACCCCTAGGGAGAGAGACTGAGGCATTTAATTGCTGTGCACTTTCTGTATGTCCTTTGGCAAGTCACATGCAGCGCAAACTCTACCAGTGTCAGGAAGATTTCAGGAACAATCAAGGATGGCTCACATCACTGAGAGTTTGCACAATTGATACTGAAGAATTAAAATCCTAAATGGCACTGAAGATGCTCCCATGAGAGGGAATTACTGTGAGCGCCTCAGTACAAGAATGCACCCTTGGTGTGATCTCTTTAACAATTAACTGTAGGGTAAACAAAACAAGATTTATGAGCACATTATAAATTTCTTAGCCTCTGTTGGCCTCTGCAGTTGTTTGAGATGAGGCGTGTCTTCAATGACCAATTAATAGCAATAAAAGTCTTAGTTTCATAACACAGGGCAATGTAACAAATGATTGACTAGTAACACTGACTAACTCAGCCATGTGACCTAAAACCTGCTCTTGAGCTAACACAGCCCTCAGTATATAACTTGGACTCTGGCAGCCAGACTCACCCTCTCCTGAACTGCAGAAACAAATGGAGCTCCTGGGAGCAGCCACTGTTGTCCTTCTGATTTGCATTGCTTGCCTGCTCTCCCTTGCATCATGGAAAGGGAAGTCTGGAAAGGGGAAGATGCCTCCAGGACCAACTCCCCTTCCCATTCTAGGTAACTTGCTGCATGTGAGACCAAATAATTTGGCCAAAACCCTCGAGAAGGTAAGGCCACTTTCTTTTCTCTCTTTCTTCTGTGGATGAGAAACGTGTGGCACCTGCGCATGGGGACAACCTCTGGCTATAGCTTGATGAATTGCAATCCCAGAGGAGCAGCAGAGTCATGGGGATTGCAGCTGCTCCCCCTTGTTGCTGTTGCCCTGGTTGTTCAGGGCTGGATAGCTGGGACTCCTCTCTGTAGCCACATTTATCACGAGAGGACCAAATCTCGATGTTGCTGGTGTGTGAGGCTCACTGCCTGCAGTGGGATGCAGCAGCAAGGACACTTTTCAGCTCTTCCTTCCTATTTGCTACATGGTTGTGTTCTCTCTTGCATTTTTACAGCTTGGTGAAGAGTATGGACCAGTGTTCACAGTGCACCTGGGCTCTGACCCAGTGGTGGTGCTGCACGGACACGATGTGGTGAAAGAAGCTTTGGTTGATCGTGCGGATGAGTTTGCTGCCAGAGGACACATGCCAATAGGAGAGAGGGCCAACAATGGATTAGGTCTGTTTGCTGACTGACCTCCTTCTGAGAAGGGAAGGGCTGTGAGGATGTGTTCAGCAGATTAGAGCTGGAATGTACCATGCACGAGGGAGACTGCAGGGTGTGGGTGCGTCCCACCTGGAGAAGGGAAGGCAAAGTGGGCTGTAGTTCCTGGCTTCCACCACCCAAAGGGGGAGAGGTATCAGAGAAGTGGAGCCAGTTGTTCTCAGAGATGGGCTGGGAAGGGGCAAGGGGCAACAGCCCCCAGCTGCAGCCAGGGAAGCTGTGAGTGGATATGAGTGATCAATTATTCACAAGGAGGTTGGGTATGTAGTGGAGAAGGCCAGAAGCAGACAGTTGGACTACAGAACCTCCAGAGATTGCCTCCAAACCACAGGACTCTGTGACCCTACCATGTCAGTGCTCTCCAGGGACAGGATTCTCTGTCACTGTGAGCCACCGTTCATCCCACACCCAGCATGCCCAAACCAGGTCTTCCCTCTTCCTTCTTCGTCTGCAGGGATTATTTTT